GCTGGACCACTGAGTTAGTCTTTTAGCTGCCTCCTATAGCCAGAGGGAGCCTTGTAAAATAAACCAGATCATGTTACTTCTCTGTTCAACACTCTCCAAGTGCTTCCCCTGTCTTTCTGTGTATAAACTACCATCTTTGGTATGGCCTGTAAGGTCTACATTACCTTGTTCCCCATTGACTTTCTGGCCTTGTCTTCTCTTCCTCCTCTGCCCTTTATTCACTGAGCTCCAGCCACAGGGCCTCTTTGTATTATCTCGCCTCAGGGCCTTTGCACTGGCTGTTCCCTCTGCCTGGAAGCTCTCATCCTGGATATCAGCATGGCCAACTCCCTCACTTCCCGTAGGTCTTTATTCTAAATGTGACCTTCTCAGTGAGGCCACCCAGACCATCCTCATTAAAACTGCAGCTTCTAGGGGCACGTGGGTGGCTCAGTTGGTTGGGCAGCTGAATCTTGATTTCGGCTCAGGGCATGATCTCAGGGTCCTGGGATGGAGCCCTGCATCAAGCCCTGCACTGGACTCCACGCTCAGTGGGGAGTCTGTTTGAGGATTCTCTCTCCCTCTCCCTCTGCCTCTCCCCCTGCTCATGCTCTCTCTCTCTCTAAAATAAATAAGTCTTGGGGCACCTGGGTGGCTCAGTCGTTAAGCATCTGCCTTCAGCTCGGGTCATGATCCTAGGGTCCTGGGATCGAACTCCACATTGGGCTCCCTGCTGCACGGGAAGCCTGCTTCTCCCTCTACCAGTCCCCCTGCTTGTGTTCCTTCTCTTGCTATGCTCTCTGTCAAATAAATAAAATCTTTAAAATAAAATAAATAAATAAATAAATAAATAAGTCTTTAAAACAACAACAAAAAAACTGCAGCAGCTTCCCCTCACACGCTCCTGATTCTCTTCACCTTGCTGTTTCTTTTTTCTTCTATAATTATCCCGCTGAACATATTATTATATGCTCATGTATGTTTTTTGTTTTTTGCCTATCTGCCTCCACTAGACTGTAAGCTCCATGAGGGCAGAGATCTTTGTCTCTCTGTCTATTGATATATGCTAAAGAATAGTGCCTGGCACACAGTAGTAGTTGTGGTCAGTATTTATCGAACGAATAATTATGAACTGTGAAGAGTGTTTGGAAAATAAAGAATGCAATTATAGATGGTAGTCACTAGATCAGCAGTGGCTAATGTTTGCTGAGCCCAGACCTCCCGCCATACCCTGTGCTTTTGTCTTATTTAGTCCTTACAATGATGCTAAGAGACAGCTATTCATAATATTCCCATTTAGCAGTGAAAGAAACTGAGACACAGAAAGTTTAAATAAATTGTCCAGAGTCACCTAGAGATGGTTTAAATTGTCCAAAGTGAACTAGAGGTGTGTCATTGACCTCTAGTTCTCACTAATTCACCTCTAGTTCGATTTAGCACCTGTAGCCTGTAATTGACAAATCTGGAGAAAATTATGGAATAGACCATAGAGGGAGGTGGTGAAGTATATTTCATTGTTAGCAGTGCTTTTCTTAGAGTGCTCATATTTAATTTCAGAGTATTTGGTGTTAACTTCTAGATGATGGAGGCTTTAGGTAGTTAATCCTACATCTCCAGAAATGCATTCTGTGCATTTTTTTTTATTGTTCAAACCCAAATATCTCTGTTTTTTTCCAGAAGTGGAAACCATCACACCTTCAGTCCAGGGGAAGTTTGGTGGTTTCTCATTTCCTTTTCCAGAATAACACAAGGACGTGGCCTTTGGGGAAACATAAGCGGTGTTCCCCCTCCCTCATAGGAGGGTGGCAAGTGCCTTCTCAGCTGAGATTTCATGTTAATGCTTCTTCCTTAGGAACTTGATTGACTACAGAGTATCTATTCCCTCCTGATGTGATCCCTTGGAGGGCCACAGCCTGGCCCCTGGAGCCACTTCTGTTGGGTGTCTGCTTCTCTCTCCCAGGGTGGTCCTTGCCCTCAGAGACATTGAACACTCATCACCTGTCAGTGACTGCTCTCAGGGTGGTCTCAGGTGTTCTGAATGGATCTTGTGGGCCTGGGCCTGCACTTGGTCACCAGTGGGAAGCTTATTTTGAACGTGAGGCTGCCATGTCTTCCTACTCAACAACTGTATTATTTTTCTATGTTCTGTAATAAATTGCTGCAAATTTAGTGGCTCAAAACAACATGTATTTATCATACCACAGCTTCTGTAGCTTATCTGGGTTCTTTTCATCAGGTCTCATCAGGCAGTATAGGTGTTGGCTGGGGCTGTGGTCTCAACAGAGGCTCAACTGGGGAAAGATCTGTTTCCACTGCTCCCTTAGGTTCTTCGCAGAATTCATCTCTTTGCAGTCATAGAATTGAAATCCCTGTTTCTTGCCAGCTGTTGGCCAGGGGCTGCCCACAGTTCCTTGCCACGTGGCCCTTTCATAACATGGCAATTTACTTCTTCATAGCCAGCAAGAGGAGTATGTAGCTCCAGTCTGCTAAAATGGAGCTTTACAGCACAGCATAATCACAGGGGTGACACCCCATCCTTTTTGCCATATTCTGATGGGTTAGAAGCAAAGTGCAGGTCCTACTCTCACTCAAGGGGAGGGTTTTACAAAGTCATGAACACCAGCAGGTGGGGAATATTGGGAGGAAGGGGTCATCTTAAGGTGTGTTCACCATAGCAGCCATATTTACTGTGGTTAAATTGTGGAGCTAATTCCTAAAGGCAGGGGAAGACCTATTAGTTGCTCATCTATTCCCTCAGTAGCCATTGGATTTGCTTTGCCAAGACTATAAGTCAAGATACGATTTTTCATGTTTCATCTAGAAAATTTGTAATAATGCCCATTTTTGTAGGTATTTTATGCTCCTTTCAGTTCAGATATAACTGAGTAAATAATCTGATGAAATGAATCAGAGCTGCCTTCCTTCCTATAGTATTTCTTGTTCTAGAACCAAAGATGGTAGTTACTAGATCCTGTATTAAGGATTATTCCTTATGAATCTGGGGTGTAAGTTGCTTAAAGATAGACTCCATTCATTTTATGAGTGTTTTACTGAGTAGATACAGTGTCGACTTATTTAAAATTACTGTTTTTCAACCTACTCATTTAAAATCTCAGGGGGTGTTTATAAACAACCTCACACGGTCTGACATTTGTCTTCATGTGACAGAGCAGCTGGGATTTCACATCTTAGAACACTCTCCTCCCACGCCTGTCTTCGTTGTTTGAGACCTCACAAATACCCATGACAGTATGTCATGACCAAGTCTTCTCTTTGAAAAGTCTGGAATCTTCTGCTTTAGTTCCTTTAATATGTCTTTTGTTTGGGGGTGGTAGAGGATGAGAATGTGGGGAAAAAATGAGAACACACGTCTAGTCTGATGAAGTTTTAATGCAAGAAGGCGGAGGCAGAGAACTGGTTTCTTCTTTTAGAGTTAGTTTATTCCAGTTTGATCAGTTTGGAATCCGTTTATTCCTTTACATTTTAAAAGTATGTGCCTCAGTCCCTACTCCTGAAAGGATGTGTTAGAAGGTAAAATAAAACCAAGATATGTTATTGATGTTTGCTTACCCAATCACAGTTGCACACCTGGGAAAAACCAAATACCCCTTTAAAATGTTTTCACTTTTGAATTTCACGTAAATCATACCCAGATGGTTAATGGTAGTGTAAATTGCTTTTAATGATATATAAGAATCTTAGAAATTCATTTTTAAAATATAGCAAATATACATTCAGAAACCACTTATTTGGGAGGATATATGTGTGTTAGGAGTTTGGCGTGAAAGTGCCCACTTTAAGAATTTTCTGGCCACACTTGCTCTTAGAGGGGCTGGCATGGGCCCCTCTTTGGTAGAGCTCCTCATAAGTGGGCCGAGAAAGCCCTGCTCGCCCCTTGGCCAGTGGGGAGTGGCTGTGCTTGTGCTGGAAACCCTGGACAGAGCTCAGGAGCCTGGTTCCTAAGTCCTGATCCCCATGACTGGCTGGCTACCCAGAGAGAGAGTGTACACGTTCTGCTGACACTTAGCGGCAATCCATTTCCTCTTGCCTTATGCCTGGCCGGGTGGGCCGAGGAATCACCTTCCATTTCTGAGAATCATGTGGCTTTCAGGAGTTCCTCAGGCCCACAGTAATTGTCATATGGCAGCCCCTCAAAGGAATGGCATCAAGTGGTGGGAGTTCCTTCTGGTGATCACTTGTTGCTGGCTCTCCTGGATGTGCATGGTGTCACATCATATGCACATATACCTGGTGGGAGAGAGGGAAGCGGCTGCACCACCTGTGTGGGGAGACGGCCGGGCAAACAACCCTGCAGTTGTTTGCCACAAACAGCCTTTATACCCACTCTTTCCCCAGAACTTTAGCTGCCTTAGAGTCTTTTCTTAATGCATCTTTAATTTGATAGATTTTGCCAGATTGCCTTCTGTAAGGGTTGAACCTTTTAAAAGTCTTTTAAAATTCATTTTAATTTTCTAAATGCTATTAGAATATATTCTTTTCAGAAAAAGTGAAAAAAATTTAGGGATATAACTAAAGTCACTTTCAGTTACCACTACCACCCCTAGATCCTGTTCCCATGCAGACGCTCTCCAACCCCCAGAGGTAAATGCTGTTAGTGGTTTGGTGTGCCTCTTTGTCTGTGCCTTGGCAGATACAAACCCATGGGAAATAAACATTATGGAAGTGTGTGTGTGTGTGTGTGTGTGTGTTGTTTAATGCATAAGCTATATTGTCCTAAATTTCTATAATGGTGTGTTTTCCTTGATGGTGGTCTTTCCATGATGTGTATAATTTTATATATATACATATATAAAAATTTGAGTTTTACTATGAATTATTTTTCAGCAGTGCCTTTTTGACATTTACTTTCAGGAAAGAATTTGGGGTTTCATTAAATACCCAATAATTCACATATATATATTCACACACCCACACACTATATATATATATATATACATATATATGTATATATATATACAGTGCAAAATTGTAATCTTTGTGTGTTTTTTTCCTCTCTTCAGATCTCAGAAAAGTGATCTTCACAGTGAACGCTACATCTTGGAATTAGATTGCTGTTCCTCCTTAGACCACCTGACAGGCCAAAAACTCATCCCAGAGTTCATTAAGAAGGTGAGCGCTGTAATGAGGAGATAGTTGGACAGGTTTGCAGTGCGAACTAGGGGAGGCTGGCTTAGGGCAGTTTGGCCACACTCCAGGGGCTGGGACAGGAGCCAGTGCCTCCTTGGACCTGGGTCTTTGGGCAGCCCCACAGGGGGACAACCCCCCCCCCACATACATACATTGCTCAGGCTGAAGATGACTCAGGAACAAGGTAGCTTCCCCCCTTTCCAGGCAGGCGGGACCCTGGCCCTTGTCTTTTAAGGCTGGAATGTTACTAACAGCTGACAGGCCTGTGGGCCCACTGCTGGGACTCCCCTCAAACCTTCAAGATGGTGTGACCCCCACCTGCAGCCCAGGTCCCACCTTCCACTTGTCCTGTGGGTCTTCATTGCCATGAGCCACCTTTCTTCCTAGTGTGAGAGCACCCCGGAGTCCTGTGGCCCCTGGCATGCCATTATACCAGCTACAATTGCCTAGTTACAGGAGAATCATTCTCCACCCGGAAATGTATCTGGTTTTGAACTTCTCTTTGTGCCCTGTGAGGTTTCCTGCCTCATTGCAAGGTTCACTTGAGTTTCAATGTGACATGTGCTGCAGAAGGAATGTCCTTGCCCAAAGTGGGGCTAAGTTCATTCCTTAATGTTTACCTTGTTCTCTCTCACCCAGGCTTCCACAGTAATTGTCAGTTCCCTATCCTATAGAGGTGATGATGTTTCGTTTGAGATCCAGTCTGTCCATTAGTGAATTCGTTAATAAATAGTGTTGGCCATCAACTTTGGGCCAGAAACAGTCCTAGCCTGCTTGGCGCTTGGACACAGAGAACCAAGGCACTGTGGTCTGTTGCCCTCATTTCCTCACACCTGGAAGGCAGACCCTGGAGAAGTGGGATGAGCATTACCAGCAGGGAGGCAGCTGGGCGGAGGAACAAGCCGACACCACGTGGTTTGGCTATCAGGGAGGTCCACCGTGCCAAGACAGAAAGAATGAGGAGGAGTAACCTGGTGATGGGGCTGCACAGGGAAGGTTGGGGAGCCCTCCAAGCAAAGGGAGCAGCATGTGTGAGGGCCTGGTGCAGGAGCAAGAGAGGGGAGTCAAAAGATCAGAGAAGCTTTGGGAGAGAAAGGGAGTGCAAGAGATGGGAGGTGGGCCCAGGACTGCACTATAAATGCAGCGGGGGGGCTGTTCAGAGGATTTTTGCAGAAGAGTGAAATAATGAAATTGTCTCTTTAAACACCCAGTGACTCTTTTGTTGTTGTTTCCTTCCTGTCTCTCTCCCTTCAACGTTGATTGAATGTTCAGGCTCAACAAGGCCCTAGGAATAACCTCTCATGTATGGGGGGATGCTAAGACCTGGAGACTGGGAGTCAGATGACCTCACAGGTCAACATTTCTGATCATTTTACTAGGACAATGGAGACTCTACTCTGGTGGAATTCATATCATTACTTAAGGAATTGGGGGAGAAGGGCATTTTTTGTTCACACATGCATAAGCCTGACAACACAAGTTTTTGTATAAGTCATGTAGATGTCTATATAAATAGGGCCCTCTTTTCTGGATTGATGCAGATAAAATGTTCTAATAAACTTGGGTTTATTAACTTAATAAACTGGGTCTAATAAACTTACCCCATGATCTGAGTACTGGGGAAAAATCATTTTAGAAATAGGCTTGTAATCAAGACTGGGTTGCTTGGAATATTTGAGGGGTAAGTGGGTCAGATGAGTGCATGAGGCTCTGTCCATATTATCAAGTATGCTTTTTTAAAAACACGTGATTTGAGGGGCACCTGGATGGCTCAGTTGGTTGAGCAGCCGACTCTTGATTTCGGCTCAGGTCATGATCTCATGGGTTGTGAGATCGAGCCTTATGTTAGGCTCCCTGCTCAGCGGACAGCCTGCTTGGGATTCTCTCCCTCTGCCCCACCCCTACATGTTCATTCTCCCCCTCCCTTAAAAAAATAAAGAAATCTTTAAAAAACAAACAAAAACCCATATGATTTGGTAGCTTTGCCTTAACAAACCAGATCATTGCATGACTGGCCCATTACACTGTGCACATGTCAGGTCTTCAGGAGAAAGCAGTCTGATTAGTGGGCACTCAGATACTGGTGTGGGTAGCGTGTGTAGTGCAGGTAGACATCTGCGTGTGTGTGTGTGTGTGTGTGTGTGTACACGCATGTGTGCACATCAGTATCCGATAGTTCGTTTCATAATTAAATAAAGCACTGACACCTGCTCATTCCGTGTTTGTATAAGGATTATGTTTTTAGCACTTTGAAAATTATATACCTTAAAAAGCCCACAGTGCCATCCTGCTCCTGCAATAACCCTGGTTTTCGAACAACAAGCATTGGGTCCAGACAGACTAGACAACCTGCGCAATAAGAGATTTCTAACCTGGAGTTTGTCTCCTTATGTGTATCCCAGAACCTCTCGCCTCCGTTCCTCTCAGTAGAGAGATGGTTCGTGATCACGGCCAGCAGGTGCAGGTAAAGTTTCCCGCCAGTGACTCAGGGGTGTTGAGATCGTCCCGCCATTTGTCCCTCACTGTCCAGTGTGGCCGAGGGCCGGGACCTGGAAGGATCCAGCATTTCCGGTCATTGGTGCAAGGTGTGGCTTTAGTTTCTCAGCCAGTGGCGGTGACAACCAGAAGAGGGACAAAACGATGGGTCTGGGCCTCCTTGCCTCTGCTCCTCTTTTCTGTTGTTGGACAACATTTCTGGAGAAGACACCACTTCCGTGTGCAAAGACCAGAGGGGAACCGAATGCCCCTCTGTAGGATCAACAGCTATTCCAACTGATGGCAGAATTTTACACATGTGTAAATTTTTCTGTCATCACACAGGTAGAAGACCCTGGGAGCTTCCTGGGAAGAAATATACTAAAAACCATTTGTGTCTTTTCAGTAAATATTTAATGAACAGCCTGGTCCCTATTTGTATATAGAGAGAGTGGCGACACTTGTTAATTGCCATTCACTTAGGCCAAGACGAAGCTGTGCCACTGGCAACTACAGCTTACAGTCATTCCTTTTCATCTGGGTCATTATTTTGTGTGAAATAATGGCTCCCGTTTCTATGACAAGCAGATCCGTCTTACGATGCGATGGTAATTAACTCATTTTGTCATTGTACCATCACACAGGATAGGCTCATATTCTCTGCATATTAGAACTAAATTCAAAGTGATTAGATTTTTTTTTTCCTTGGGAACAAAGGCCCAGTATTGTTTTTCCACCGAATGTTTTAAATTAGCGGAACTTTTGGATAGAGAACGTGGATGGCAGGAGGGAAAGGAGATTTCATTATTTTCCACAATTAGGAAAAATAAAATCATCTGTATCTGTGTCATGTAAAATTAGCTGAAGGTGCCGTAATTCACAGGCCCTCTCCATCATGATTTTCCGCAGAGGGCGAAGGGAATTATATAAAGATGACTCTGTTCCTTTCAGTGTGGTCTGATGATTTCTCTGAGCACTTTAGCTGCTCAAATTAAATCTGGGCTACTGCTTTGTGTTTTTTCCCCCTCTTGTTTCCCGCTGTGCTCCATCCAGCCGGCCCTTTATGTAAGTTATTTATTATGGACCACAGAACATTTAAAAGGCAGATTTATGGGCAGACTCGGAGAGACTGTGTGTTCCAAGCCCTAGAAACGAATGCTCCAGGGACACAGAGTCTCACGGCTGTCGGAAAGCAGAGGTGCTATCTTTGCCCCTGTGAGCCAGAGGTTTGGCCGCCAGGTACTTCTGGAGCTTGTCTTGTGTGGCTTGTGGATTTGTGGGGCCCCTTGCAATTTCCTGTTCTTCAGAGTTCCCAGGGGATTGTAAAGAGACAGAATGATGTCACAGAAAGGGCTTACACGTTCATCTTCAAATTCCTTTACGTTCTTTGGAGCTTCTTGGGAAAGTGCTTGAATGTTTGGAAAGCCCTTTGAAGATTGCAGAGTCATTGCACACATTTTCTGGTTTGCGCTTCACAGTAATTTTGGTCAAGAGGCCCCACTGGCAGTGGGGTCTCCCTTCTAGACAGGAGGAAAGAGCTCCGAGAGGATGAGGGCTTTGCCCAGGGCCAGGGACTGTCAAGGATGCAGCCCGGGCAGGTGTTTCTACAGGAGAGACACCAGCGGGCAGCAGTGGGCCTCGGGTGGAGCAGGAAGGTTCTGTGGCCAAGTGGGGAAGGTTTTGGAGAGGTGTGGTATAGACTGCGGGCCCTGAAAACTGAGGGATGGATGGAGAGGTGAGGCGGACAGTACTGTTCTTGGTAAGGATAGAAGCATGGAATGAAAGCTCAAGGCTTGAGAGTCAAGTTCTGTTTGGCTACAGTTTGGGATGAACAAAGGGAAGAGGAAGACTGTTCTGGGCAGGATTCTTTTGATGACATGAAACAGAGCCCTACTCAAGCCAGCTCAGGTAGGGTACAGCAGGCAGGGTTTACTACCTGGCTGGAGCCGCTGCAGCAGGTTACAGAACCCCCCCACCCCCACCGCCCCCAGAAAAGAAGAAGAAGGAAAAGAAGGAGAAGGAGAAGAAGAAGAAGAAGAAGAAGAGAGGAAAAGGAAAAGTTTGGGCTCTCTGGCTGTATTATACGCTGCTGGCCCATATTTATGTATATATAGGTTTATTTGAATTTTAAATGGGATTTCACTGCACAGAGGGAATCCCTCTGTGTGTCAGGTAGACCCTTTGCTAACAGGCTTCACACACACTATATTCTTAATCCTCATCTCACCCTCTCTGAAGGCTTAGACCCATTTTATAGGCACAGAGAGCTATGCAGTTTGCCCAGTTACAACTGTGAAAGGCAGAACTAAGGTTTGAAGCCAGCCTGTGTGACCCAGAGGCCACGTTCCTGACCATTGGGTCATGCTGCCTCTTCTCTGTGGTGCTCAGGGACTGAGAGGGGGCTGTCCCAGGCGAAGGAGAGGCCGTGTGGGAGGCAGACAGGTGTAACTGGGTCTGGTACATGGAGACAGATTTTAGAGCCCATAGAAGGCCTCCCCTCAGTGGAG